TTTTACCTGTTTTTTTTTTGTAAGTTTTATAAATTCCATTTTTATTCTCCAATCAAGAGTTAGCGGATATTCATTTTGTGTATGGCTTTGTAAATGGAAACGCAGCAGAGGCAGCCAGAGAATACGCATGAAGATTTCCAAACAGACGAGATCCAACTCGCTCAGTATTTGTAAGAGTGCATCATATGATTCTGCGTGAGTTTGATAGAGATCCGACCACAAGTGTTAGGAGAGTTTCTGGTGCCTTGGGAATTTCAGCAAGCCATGTTCACCATGTTCTTAGAAATGATCATAGACGTCCTTACCATTTGCAACCTGTGCAAGGACTACAGCCAGGGGAGGGAGAACGAAGAATCACATTTTGTCAGTGGACTCTTGATAGAACTGATAATAATAGGGAGTTTTTAAGTAACGTTTTATGGACCGTGAGTCAAGCTTCACTAGACGTGGAGCGGTAAATTTTCATAATCAACATATTTGGTCGCATGAAAATCCGCATGCAGTTCGGGAAAGAAATTTTCAGTATGAATTTAGTGTGAACGTGTCGATTGGTATCTACCGTAAACGACTATTTGAACCCTACCTTTTGGAATGTTTAAAGGCTGAACATGCAAATATGTGGGATGATGTTATGTTAGATTTAAGAAGATTGGCCTGGTTCCAGCTTGATGGTTGTCCAGCTCATTATTCGAGAATAGTTAGAAACTGGCTGGACGAAAATTATCCAGAAAGCTGGATGCTATACCACGTTCGATCATTCGTAGATGTGAATTGTGAATTGAACAATTGGGTTTACATTTCAAGCAACTACTTTAGATTTTGTATGTTTGTCTTAACTATCCAATAGCATTTCAGTTGTAAATAATTAATTTAGTTTGTTATAAATAATATTGGAAAATTAAATAAATTAATATTGTTTTTTTGTGTTTATTTGGAGTTAGGAATTATTGCTGTGTTTAAAAACACGATCTAAACGATTATCTTAATTACTTGTAATGCCCAAATCGAAAATGTAAAAAAAATATTATTTTCCCATAAATAATTAAAAATGCATCGAACCTTAAAAATCGAAATATCTCAAAAACGGCTAACTATAACGAAAACTCACAGGATAGCTTTTTTATGTTGAAAAGTGCGAAGAATCAGTTTTTTTATTCAAAAAGCAAAAAATTGCAGTAAGAAAAAAATTTCGTCATTTTAATACACTACAGGTATGGTAGAGAACGCCCTCTAGCGGCTACAGTGAAAGCCCATGGTTCGTTTTGTCGTACCAAAAAAACCCTTGTATACCAATTTTCACTGTCATACATCAAATGTTCGAAATATTTAAAAAGAACTATTTTAGAAAGTAAATTTAAACACCCGGTATTTCGGAAGCCACAGATTTCTCGACTCATGTTTATATAGACTTTGTGCATTAATTTTAAAAGTTCTATCGAATCTTTAAGTTATGCTGATAACTGATACACCCTGTATAATATATAATAATGCACTAATTCTCACGATTTAGCAATTTACAGTTGTTATTGCAATAATTATGAACATTTATTTAATATTGCTTGATTGTTTATCGATTTTAATTCTTAATAAACAAAATTGAAGTTATTTTTATGTTCTAAAATCTCCAGTTTATCGATTACTTATAAAACTTAATTTGAAAATTATACAAGGAAAACACTAAATTTTGGGCTTTTCCCATTACTTATAAAAAACAACGCATATCTGACTGCGTCTTTTTATGTATACTAAGTGACATATAAATCCGAACACCCAGTTTAAATGGTTTTATTTTAATAAAATTTTGTATAAGTACTTAATGAAGCATAATAAGTAAATGATAAAAATTTCAAAATGATTGCACTGCTTTAAAGCCCTTTGACCTTTAATAATGTGTGGATGCACCCTGATGTGCTACGCATTCTCCAACGCGCCTAGCCATGCTTCTGATCAGGTGGTCAATGTCCTCCTGTGGTATCTCATTCCAGGTAACCACCAGCTCCTCTCGAAGTGCTTCTAGAGTCTGAGGAGAACGTTGCAATTTGAGCAATCTCCTACCCATTATATCCCACACGTGCTCAATTGGGTATAAGTCGGGAGATCTTGGTGGCCATGGTAACAATGTGACATCATTATGTTGAAAGAAGTCTATTGTGACTCTTGCAACATGTGGTCGGGCATTATCTTGTTGGAAAGTTGGATCTGCCAGGGTGTCAAGATAGGGTAAAATATGGGGTTCTAGAACTTCGTGGATATAACGCTGCGCGTTCATGTTACCTCTGATGAAGATTAAAGGTGACCTGGAACCATAAGCTATAGCACCCCAGACCATAACTCCAACAGTGTGATGAACATGTCTTTCAACAAAAAACTGTGGATTCCTCCTTTCACCACGTCGCCTTCTAAACCTGGCACGACCATCGTGCATGCCTAAACAAAATCGAGACTCGTCACTAAAGACAATACTGTTCCATTCCTGATCCAAGAGTGACCGTTGTCTGCACCACTCAAGGCGATTACGTCGGTGTTCTCGAGTTAAAGGGAGGACCCAGTGTGGCCGGTATGAAAACAAGCCAAAACTTCTCATTCGTCGGTAAACACTTCGCATGCCAATAGGTCTTCCGTGTTCTGCAAACCATTCATTTGCAATGGACCTGGTAGTGGAGAAACGGTCCCTTAAGGCCAATAATCTTAGGCGGGGATCTTCACGGTCTGTTGTTCTACGGCGGCGTCCAGTGCCCCTTGCTCTTTGCGTACGGCCTTCTCGAAGCCATGCCTGACAACACCTAACCACAGTGTCTACACTTCTTTGCACTCTAACTGCAATTGCTCGAAAAGAAAGTCTAGCTTCCCGAAATCCCACTATACGGCCCCTATCAAACTCACTAAGTTGACGAAATCGTACAGGTCTCCGTACTCTAGGCATCGTAACCGATCGTAAAGGATGTCAAGAACCAAAATTCGCCAACGTTGATTCTGTACTGCGGCTGAAATATTCATTTTTAGAGCGTTAGTGAATTAAAAAAAAGCAGTATAAAAACCGGAATGTCCAACTGATACGGCTGAAAATTTTTTCACTTGTTATGTACAGTAAGATAAATACATTCACCAACTTTTATTAAAATAAAAACATTTAAACTGGGTGTTCGGATTTATATGGCACTTAGTATATTTGTCATTAGAAGCACCCCCTTCCATTCGAAGCTATAGTTTCGTAATTGTTTTTTTATCTATTGGAACTTATAAAAGGTTATCTCACACGTTTTTTTTTTGTATCTATGTCTCCCAATGGAGTACTTCTTCGCTTATCCTAAAGAGTATAATTCCATAGTAGAATCTGCTTGTACAACTTATTCAAATATCCACTAATCTTAGTCTACGGAGCCTGCCGTTTTTTATGCGGTGAGATCCAGGGGTATCTGTAAATGAGTTCGCGACTATTCAGTTCCACTGCGGTGATTACAAACAAAGAGCTGCTGCACGCGGAGAGATTACAATTCATACACACCATGAAGCGAGGTTTGGTTTGAAGAGCATCATAATACGGCGAATTTGTGGTGGAAATGGAAATGACAAATTACCTGGGCGTCGGAATAATCACAACCTAATAGGATTTCCGGAGAGGCTGCTGCTTGTTGTTGGTACGCGATTACGTATGCCAGATAGGTAGATATTTAATTGGAAGTTCTCTTCAAACGCGCTGCTGTCAGTTGTAGGTGCATTCTGCGGCTTGGAGTGTTTTAAGCGCGTTGCACTTTCTGTGCAGGAAACGCAATAATTAGGGTTGCACGTGAGTATTCGGTGAAACGGTTGCTGGCGGTATGAAATTTTGCGGAAGGTGCTGAGCATATGTCATACCACAAAACAACAGAGAGGGGCTTACAAGGGCGTTCGCGAAAAGCGGAGTCCATATTACCAAGATATAATGCAGAGGAGATCGTTGTATAAGGAAATGTCTGAAAATTCCTGTCATTTTAGTATCTAGGTATGACGCGTCACTAACTCCTTACCACCTCAGTGATCTCTTTCAAACTGCAAATGAAAAGTGTCTTTGACTGGAAAAAATGTTAGTAAATAGACATGGCAATATAGTGCTTTTCAAAAAAACCCCATCGGCTTGTTTATTGATCGGGTCAATACTATAACCTTGAAAGAACGGTTAAACATTCCAATATATGGGCTGAGATAACTCATTTTGAAGCCCCTCATGAGTGCCTTATGACCCTAGAATATAAAGTCTTCCAGAATGGCGATCTATCAAGGTTGAGCTTTTTCTACATTGATTAGCTTAGGGTCTATAACACGAACTTCAAACTTGCTGACATGTTAGAACCATTAATACTCTTGACTTCTAGCATGAAACAAATGCAAAATATATGGATATATGTTAGAAAAAAATTGTCATACCAAAACATGATATTCCGGATGTTTGCCCCTTGAAAGTGGGTAAAAATCCGCATTCCTTTTAAAATGTATACTGCATGTCAGATAACTGAAGAATATGTTTCCAGAAGACCAAAATATTTTCTAAAATACAGGAGAAACAGGATCTATTACAAAACAAAATCACTCATGTCTGTTGAAACCGTAACCGAATCCTTGAACCTGGCAGAACTGCTTGTCAGTGGCATGGGGAGTCTACTTACACTTAGTGACGTCTTCAGTAGTTTCAATAAATCTCTGGATATTGGCAGCTTTTTGAAATATCTTCCGTCACAACCAACCATCTTTCCTCACCTGAGTAATCCGCATCACGTAATGGCGTAACGAATTTTTGGTTTTTCCATATACTTTGACAACAACAAACAGCCCAGGGGTAAATTCAGGGACTGCTTCATCATCACTGTTTGAGAGATTCAGATCGCTACTATGAGGGACGTCTTTCAAGTTTTGCATATGGAAATAAAACAACACGGTAGGTAGTTTTAAATGACTTTATTGTTTTTCGAAGTATTCTCCACGCAGATTAATACAAATCTGCATGCGCTCGAACCAATTTTCGAAGCACTTATTCCACTCGCTTGCTGGCAGATCCAAAACGGCAATTTTGAATGCGTCAACTGCTTTTTCTGGTGACTGGAACCTTTGACTATGCAGTCTGTTTTTAATTTTCGGGAAAGTAAAGAATCGTTAGGACTTAGATCGGGAGTATATGGAGGACGGTCCAATAATTCCACGTTTTCTTGCGTTAAATACTGCCTGGTTCTTGGGCTGTGTGCGGGCTTGCATTGTCTTGGTGGAGGATGATTCTTGTTTCGGGGTTGATTTTTCGAAGCTCGGTGATGACTTTTGGCAAACAAATGGTGGTATACCAATCCGCAGTAACAGTTCTTTGCTCATTAAGAGGAATTGTTGCAATATGACCCGCTTTTGACACAAAAGTCGCGACCATCTTTTCGAAACACTTCGAGAACGGATGACTTTTGTTAACTTTTCTTCACCTTTCTTCACCTTCACCTTCTTCACCTTCACAGCCGACTGTTGTTTATTTCCTGGTTCATAACAGTAAATCCACGATTTTTGACACCAATTAATCCTGGCTGCTTTCTGCTCTTCAGTCAACGGGTGGGATTTCCAAAGAGAAACTAGTTTCCTTACTCCTAATTCTTCATGTAAAATTTTTTGAAGGGAGGTCTTTGAGATCTTCAAGGACGCCTCAGTCTCGCGATATGTCACATGTTTGATGCACCCACCCTGGGATCGTCGCTAAGATTCATCCGTCCACGTTTGAATTCTCCATACCAACGGGAAATTGTCGACTGATGTGGCGCTTCGTTGACGAAAACAGACAGTAACTCAGCAAGGCATTCTTGTTGAGATAATTGTCTCTGAAAGTTGTAATAAATTATGGCGCGAACATTTTCTCGGTTGAGTTCCATTTTTCTAATGACTTGGTGTCACTGTAGTGAGAACACTGCACGTATCGTTGTTAAACTCTGAATTTAAGTTTACTAAAGAGTGAGGTTGAGATTCAGTACTGACGTTCGATCCGTGCGGCCTGCTATGTTTCTATATGCAAAACTTAAAAGACAACCCTCGTACTGTCATCAAGGGAAAGTTGCGATTCTGATTCCGATGAGCTCCTGTTATTTTTCCTTGTGAGATTTTGTTTTTCGCTAAACCGGTTTCTTCTTATTTTTGTATTCCTGTTGATCTTTGCTTTTCTTGCTTTTCCTTCCATCTTTCTGTCCATGCTCTGTATTTCCTAATTCCTCTTTGTGTCGAGTGGAAGTGAGTGAAGTAGATTTGAGTCCTCCTCGCGTCCGCTATCACTTTTTAGGAATTATAGGGAGAGGAATAATATCAGAAGCTTGCGCAACACTACCTTCACATTGCTGGTAGCTTTCAGGCAAATATTTGGGAATTTCTTAATCGCTGTGAATATAGTGTGGATGTTTGTTCAGTTCCTGAACAACGAAAAATATACGACCTTACGGATGTATGGATATCAAAAAACCTGAATGGTTTTGTGGGAATATCAATCTAAGGTGCCATAATGGTTCTGATGAACGGCAAGTAAATTGAATGAATGTTCGGAAACGAGCAATATCTTTTGGTAGAGCCTGTCATCAAGTAGGTGCTTAATGGCTATCTGCAAGAGGTTTATAGGAAAAAAACACCCAGTATAACATATCAATTGAAGAAAATAATATTAACATGAATAAAAAATCAACAATAGTAATTAAAACATGAATTTAATTCGAAAATCCAACATTTCTTAAAATTGTGACTGAATTATATGTAATTTCTTAATATTCAATAAGCTGGTGATGTTTTAATGACAAGTTGTCATCTCATACTTTGACAGTATTTTGTTTTCAACATTTCATAGCTATTGGTAGCTAAAATTTGTTGATTGGAACTTGAAGCTCATTCGTTGTACCTGACGGTCTGTTATCCTATAGGTTGAGAATATCGGACTGTTGTTGGTGAAATTGGCCCTAAAGTTAGATTCCAATAAGCAAAGCGGTGTTTGATTCATGGTCAATAGACCCTGGTCCGACTTTATTGCACTAGTGTTATTAGGCTCTCATTAGAAGCTTCAAAATAGAGTATCACACGACTATCCACTCCATTGGATCATTGCTCAATATCGTTCAGTCTAATCATCTGCAGCACACTGAATCCCACCTAATATAAATTAGAGGGACCGCGTTCCTGACTCGTCTTATCATTAGTTCTGTATCAGTTGTCACCTAATGACATTATAAATTGTCCCAGCCGAGTGCTGAGAATGAATTATTACGATTTGTGCACAAAACATCCACGGAGGGCGAGAGAAGCGCAATGAGGGATAAGGCCCGGTTCACACTGGATAAACCTGTCACAGGGAATCCAAATTCAAGATGAGATGTAAATAATAACAGATAGCGCGTGATCTCTCGGTAACAGGTGGGGACAACGCCTCTTATTGGTCAATTCGCCATTAAATTTCAAGCGGTCGCCTGGCGGAATAATACGCGGGGTAGGGGCAGGGCAGGCAGAGTTGCATTCAGGCCACCGACCGTCGCGTGTTCACTGCGTGCTCGTGTTTTCGTATTCACCTTGCTTGGTTGTTGCTGTTAAGTGTATTTGAGTAATTTGTTAAGTTTCTGCTTCTGTTAAATACTGTCATATTTGTTTTACAACACGTTGGTGGTAGTCCATCATTCGGAGGTAGCCCTGAATGCGGCCCTGTATGCCGTCCTTGCTTTTGGCAATCATGCATCCATTCTATCTTGGGTGTAAATACACTATAGTTTCATTAAACGTGTTGAGTCATGATGCACACTGGAAGGACCTGTTTTATTACAGTGATTTTATGAAAAAGCTTGTTTGTAACAAACAAGAGATAATTTATAGTTATATTTCATGAAAATGGATTTCTCGAAAACGTTTTTCTCAAAACTTCATGAATGGTTTCCTACAGTTTCATCGCTAAGTAGTAATAACAAAGTTCAATAAAAAGTGATGGTATTGAAGAATCGTCTCTAGATCTGGGATCCGTTAGAGGTTTTTCGAAGACATTTAGCCAACATTACCCAATAATAATTCGTTAATTTTAATCTTGGTATATTGGTCGTTTGAACAGTCCTCACAGACAAATTCCGATGAAAAAGAATTTCATATATATACAGGGTGGCCAATATGTAACTGACTGGTTTGTATCTTGAGTATTTGTGAAATGAAACAAAATACCTCCATTTTTTTCATCTTAATATTTTATTGAAGCTTAGAAATCATGTATGAAAAATAATATCAGACAAACGCACGCCTCTAGGAGCCGCGCAAACCTGAGCCCTATTGATTACGTTTTCCATCACTTTTTGGTAGGTTTAGGGAGGAATATCTTCAATCGCTTCCGTAATATTGTTTTTCAGCTGTTCTACAGTATCTGGTTTGTCGGCATATACCCTGTTTTTCAAAAATCCGCTTGTAAAAAAGTCAGGAGCCTTTAAATCTGGTGACCTTGGTGGCCAGTTGACATCACCAAATCGAGAAATTAAACGCACCGGAAAAATTGTTCGCAAAAGATTCATTGTTTCCTTAGCTGTGTGACAAGTTGCTCCGTCCTGCTGGAACCACATGCTTTGCACGTAAATTTGTTGGATTTCAGGACCAAGAAAGTTTTGCACCATATCACGGTAGCGCTGACCAGTGACAGTAAGAGAATTACCTGCAGCGTCTTCAAAGGATGAAGTGATCGTTATTGGATGACACGAGAGCTCTCTAATTCGGCAATTTTGTTTATAAACAAATCCGTTCATATCTTAGTGGCCTTCGTCGCTCATTATCAGTTGTCGGTAGAAATCGTTATTTTGGGTATCAAGCTGCAATATTGCATGACTGTATTGTCGGCGACATTTATGGTCACTAGGCTGTATGTAGTTCTTGGGTTAACTGAATTTTGTATTGCCGCAAATGCAAGGATTTTTTTAAGACGAATACCCAGTCCTTGCGAACGATGTCTGGTAGACGTCTCAGGGTGCTCCACTACACTTTCACGAACTCTCTCGATATTTTCAGGAGTACGATGTGTTCGAACACGGCCCGACCTCGCCAAGTCTTTAACTTAACCTGTTTTAGTAAAACGTTTTAACAATAGGGACGCGTTGAGGTATAGTATGGTGCTCCATGATGAACAGGACACATGTGTTTTAAACGACTACTACGACTCCACCTACGAATCAATCAGTTGTATATTGGATACGCTGAATATGTTCAAAATCTGTTTTGTTAACACTTGACTTATGCAATCTGATGTCTCTGTAACCACTTTCATACCACAAACTTCAAAAAAGCAGCTTCATTTAAAGAAGCAAAGGCATGACTGATAAATGACTTCGATAAATGTTATCAGATATTTGTGTACGAGCACCTTCCCACTTCAGCTGGCCCAACTATTGAAATCTTAGTTTTTTCTTATCAAATACAAATAATAAAAATGTTATAGTTGTTATAGGTTTAAAATACTAACAGTGAATATTTTTATAATATATACTAGAAAACACCAACTTTATCAGTCCCTAATCAAATTTGCAGCATAAAAATAACACATGTTGCAATTACAACATATCAACCTATTTTCGTTTCAATGCAATATAAGCCTATAACGCATAGGTGGCTGTGAAAAATAAAAGCCGCGACAATTGTTTTTATTAATCACAGCTGTCAGAATACGTTTAAAATAGTTTTGGGTAGTTAAGGTTTTCAAAATGGGTAGAGCAAAGGTTATTAGTGAGAAAATTCGGCTACTGATAATTAAGTTTTTTAATTCTGGGAAATCAAACTCAGAAATTGCAACTTTGTTAGAATTATCGCGGTACAGTGCGAGAAATATTGTTAGAAGATATAACGTAACGGGTTCAGTTAATATTAAGCCACGATATGTGATAAAAAGTAATATCAAAAATGCCGACCGAAGAGCATCAAGAAGAATAATCCTGAAGACAGACGTGCCAATTATTTACAATTAAGTGCTCTGTGGAGTGACGCTGTTGGAAGGAGAACTGCGAGGTCCACAACACATAGAGAGGCCCACAAACTGTGATTTCGCAGTTGCAAGGTAAGTTTTCTTATAACAAAAATGAAGTAAAAATCCTATAGTTGCACAACTTGTTTATAGGCCAAAGAAAAGCCACTATTAACTCCACTGCAAAAGAAAAATCGGCTTAAATGGGCTAAAAAACATAGACAATGGACACCTCAACAATGGTGTGCAATACAATGGAGTGATGAGGCCCGATTCGAAGTTTGTGTTGGTGACAGTCGCAGTAGAGTTATTCGCGAAAAAAAATTAAGCATTCCATGTTGAGTGTCTGAAGAGAAAAGTGAAATTTCCAGCATCCATTATGGTCTGGGGGCAGTATGTCATCAAAAGATTTTGTGTTTCAGCAAGATGGTGCAGCATGCCATACCTGAAAAACGGCTATAAAATGGATGGAAGACAATAATGTACCTCTTTTGAAATGGGTTTCTAGCAGTCCAGATCTGTCACCTATTGAAACTTTGTGGCACGAGATGAAAAAGATTCTACGACAACATCCTGCTCGTGCAATC